TCCCCATGGAGCAAAAACTAAAAGTATGTCAGGTTGGTCTATTATAATATCTAAAATACAAAACTTGGTCGAGTACCAATTAAAGGTTGCAGAAAAATGGATTGTCAAGCTGCTGAATAAACACCTAAGCCACAGTTCTTTCTTGCACCCCATGCAGTTTGGGTTTCGGCAGTACGACTCCACAGAGATGGCAAACTGTGTCTTTGTAGAAAATCCTTGCTCGATAAAACCACCTCTGTTAGTGCAGTCTCATTGGATTTAAAGAAGGCATTTGATACAGTAGACCAGGGCTATTCAAGTCCGGGCCTCGAGGGTGGGTATCCAGCGCATTTTAGTAGTTTCTCTGTCTATCACGCATGATTCAGTGGTGAATCACCTGTGCAGCAGCGCATCAGCCTCTGCAGAAGCCTGCTAATCACCCGCTGATTGAAATAAGGTGTACTGAAACAGGGTTTGAACTAAAACGTGCTGGATACCAGCCCGGAATTGAATAGCCCTGCAGTAGACCTTCAAGCCCTTCTGTCCAGACTGACTCACTTCAGTTTTGCAGAAAAAGCATTAGCTTGGTTTCAGTCTTACTTGTCCAAAAGAAGACAGTCTGTGAGGGTGGGGGACACAATGTCATCATACCTTGATTGTTCAGCAGGGGTCCCACAACGGCTCTATTTTGGGGCCGGTATTGTTTTCCTTCTATATAAACAACCTGCCAAATGTGTGTCATAGTGTACACTTCTAAATGTATGCTGATGATGCTGTTATTTTAACGTTGCTAAAATCCCACAGAAAGCGTCCTTTATCCTCACATCAGTCTTGGAGAATATACAGCATTGGCTCTTTCAGTCCTGTCTTTTGTTGAACAAAAAGAAATCAGTTTCAGTTATGTTTACCAAAAAAAGCCATAAAACTGGAGCGGTCCAATGTGTTCTTTGGGGGGCAGTAGAGCTTGACCTTGTGCAAGAGTTCAAGTACCTCATGACCACCCTGGATCCGACATTATCTTTTAAAAAACACATAAAACTCATAGCGAACACAATCAAATTAAATTTACATGACTTCAAACAAATTAGGCCACCAATGAGAATTAACTCAGCTAACATGTCTCTGGTCACACACTCTTAAAACCAATAAAAATGCTATTCAAAAAGTCTATACAAATTCTTGATCGAAAACCTTTGTCATTTCACCTGTGTACTATTCTGGAAAAAAACAACATGCTCAATTTCAAATGTTTTATTCATTTTAAAAATAGCTGTTTCTTCTACAAAGTTCTGCATGGACTAGCCTCACCTCCACTTGCTACATACATCAAACTAAGAACTTACAAAAAACTCCTCTAGAGGAAACCTGGAGATTTCCTACAGAAAACAACCTTTGGACAATTGGCTCTCTCAGTCAAAAGGAGTCACTTTTGGAACAATGTACCAAGGAATTTTAGACAATGTTCCACCTATAGTATTTTCAAAAACCATCTTAAACAGTACCTTAAAAGTTCCCAGCCATGTATGCACCTTTACTAATTTTTTATTGTTGAAATGTAATTTGTTTGTATGTCTGTAATGCGATTGTTGTTTTAGAATTGTATATTGTCAGTAAGTTCAGTGTTAGTTTTCCTGTTTAGGGACTACAGATGGAAATTAGCAACTATGCTATAATCTGGCTCATAACAATACATAAGTACATGATTATTCATTAATGTGCATGGTCCTGAATAAATAAATAAAGTGTATCCATAATATGCACAGCTATATATATGTACTGTACATCACTTACCTAGATTATGTTGCTTTCATGTATGTATGCATCATTGCTATGTATTACTCTTTATACTTTCATATCGGTGGGGACTTTAACTTTAATCCCAATAAAAACTTGATTAGACAAAAATATATACAGATGTGTGAAGTAATTAATTTCTCACCAATAGGCCGTGCCAAAAGGCATTTCCGAACACAGGAGTGCCACAGGGCTCTGTACTCGGTCTTGTCAATTTTTTGTCCAAGAACTGCAACCCCGTTCAACCTTACCAAGGTTTGCTGATGACACCACTTAGGACTCAGTGAAAAGAATGCAACCAGTTGCAGGCAGGAAGTCCAACATCTGGCCCAGTGGTGTTTGGTATTTGAACAACAACCACATCCTAAACACACAAACAAGATTGTTTTAAATAAGTTGTACGTCGCTTTGGATAAAAGTGTCTGCCGAATAAATGAATATAAACATAAATTCCAGGATTGGACAAACCTAACAGGTTCCACCCCTTTTTGAAATTATTGCTGTATCAACCAAGGGCATGAAAAGAGCCTGTCAGAGGCTCTTTCTTGTTAAATAAATGGCTACAGGTCAGTCTGTCCTCAGATCTTCTCGTATTTTTTACAGGAGCACAAGCGAGAGTATCCACTGCTTGAGCTGCAAAATGTTTTATGCAGACTGAACTGCAGTTAACAAAAAAGACAAGTTACAGATGGTTGATTTCACCTATTCTTCTTTTGACTGTGCGAAAACATCAGACAAGGACCTGACAGTCCAAACATACATGAAGAGGAACATCTTATTTTCACTACCCAAAAAACATACCTGCACTCAATTTAGTCAATTATATTTACAACTACTACAGCTTGTGGGAAGATGGTGGTTCGGGAGTTGGCCCTGCAATCGGTAGGTTGTGGTTCAAACCCAGGCTCCGTCCATGTCAGTCGTGTCCTTGGGCAAGACACTGGTTGGAGGGACCGGTGGCGCTTATAGTTTGGCAGCCTCTCTTCAGTCAGTGCAGGGCAGCTGTGACTATGATGTAGCTTATTACCATCAGCGTGTGAATGCGTGTGAATGTGTGAATGACTGACTGTAGTCTAAAGCACTTTGGAGTCCTCTGAACTTACAAAGTGCTTTACAGGTACAGACTATTTGACACTGAGTAGCATATGCTACAGTAGCTTAAAATAGATTGTGGCTTAATGTCTTAATGCATTGTGGGATGTAGCTCTAGATAAGCAAGTGGGTAATTTGCATGGTTGCCAATGGGTCTGAGTCGCTCCACTCATCTCAAAGTTGTATTTTCATCTCCTAAAGATGTTCAAATAGGAAGGTGGTAAGCACTACTGTTCGGAGTGTCGTGCTAATTGGACTCTAAAAACCCAGATCGGATGTTGGAGGGGACTTTTTTTTTCTTTTTCCAAAGCTGGGTAAGGTCCGTGACCACATGAAACAGGCCAGCTCAGTGGTCTAGTGGTAGAGTGTCCTCCCCAAGACTGGGAGATGAGGGTGCAATTCCTGGTCGGGTCATACCAAAGACTTAGAAAAAAAATGGGACCCAATGCCTCCGTGCTTGACATGCAGCATTAAGGGGTTGGATTGGAGGGTTAAACCACCAAATAGTTCCCAAGCGCAGCTGTGTCTGCAGCTCACCGCTCCCCCAGGGGATGGGTCAAATGCGGAGAACAAATTTCGCACACACATCAGTGTGTGACAACTGATGAGACTTAAACTTTTTTTTTTTTTTCAAATAAAAACAGACAAAGCAAAATGGTTTTTAAGTGGAAGAGCAGAGTTTCAGTGTGGAGCAGACCAACAGATGCGCGTATATTTGTTCAATAACATTTTGCTGGAGGGAAAGGTCCCACATCCGAGAAAAACAGACCAATAAAAGCAACTTTCTCAGATGAGAAGTTATCCAGGAGGCCGGAGTGTAAACGAAGAAGTCCAGCTGAACGTCTCAGCCAAACAGCATCCAAACGTGGACGAAAAAGGTTTTTGATCAGAGGTGGGTGTATAACAATGTATGTAATGACACAACTAATAACCTAGGAGTAAAAAAGAACTTGGAGAAAATGTTACTTGAGCACTGTGAGTCAAAAGTAACTGTTTGGGCACAAACGTTTGATTATGGTGTCTGTCGGGTTGTTTTTATCTGTCCGTGTATTTTCCAATTGTAATGCGGTTTGATTGACTAGCACTAGCAACCAGCAGCACTAGTGCGGCGAAGTCAACTGTAGAATATGTTATTGCATTTCAGTTGATCTACTGTTTCATTTCCTGTTCATTAGACATCAGCCAGATTTGCCACAGTGTATACGACAGTTGGCTGCTCTTGAACATGCATGTAATTTATCTGTTTATTTAAAACTGATTTGTACTGTAAATACAGGTCAACACAGTATATTTATCATTTTTATTTCAGTAAAAATATGATAATTTATCTAAAGAAATATGTTCGAAACATGGGAGAAAACTGCTAAATGAAAAAGTGTCGTTAGAATGTGAAGTATGAACATTTTCCAGAGAAAAGAACTGTGTCTAAGGTGGTGTCTGAGAATGGTATGTGAGTGGAGTACCAGAACACACTGTGAACAATGAAATCCAGGTGTCTGTTCCAGTGATGTTGTGATGGAACTTTGTTTTTCCAATGCTTCACTCGGCCTGAAAAGGTTTGCATGGACTAGCTTAGGTAACTTACAACTTCATTATTTGCAAAGGCTTTTGGTGTCCTATCAGGCATGACTGCAGGAGTTTTAACAGCATGAGTTAATGTGAAAGCCACAACAATGGAAAGTATAATTTATACCAGACACACATGGGATCAATTGGGTCTCTTTTAATCTACCATTGCTTATTTTTCCTTGTCAAAACCAGTGGAAAATAAATGTTTCTCTCAAAAGTTGTGTAAGTCTGCATTCATTGTTTTTACATCCCTTCTGTCACATTTTCCAAAGCCTGTTTTGAAGCTTTATTCATCAGTTCACCAAGCTGCCAGGAATTGTTTGAACATTTTTCCACATTACTTCCCCTCATTTAGATTCTTTTCAGGCTTTTACAGTGTCATCTGGTGGTTTTCGTGCTAAAACTCACAAATAAATGTATAGAAATTAAAACGTATAAGTGATGAAATGTTGCTCACGTTTAGTTGCACCTGCTCTTGATTAGTCAACGACAATTTTTGGATGACCCCCCGCCACCTCCCTAAGATTTATCCATCTTTCCTCCTCTCCTCTACTTCCCTCCCCTTTCTTTTTTCATCTCCCCATCAAATCTAGTCACTCCTCCCCCTTTCTCCTTCTTTGTCTCTAAATTTTCTCCAGAGACCTCCAGTTTTTGAACACCACACAGTTCTTACCTCCTGGCCCTCCGCATAACAAAGAAGCACAGGTAAGCTTGCGTGGATTTCATATTTCCTGTTTGAATTTCCGTCTTCGTCTGTCGGATGGAAGCACTGCTTCAGGGCATCAGCTGATGCTGAGATAGGTGGAAAATATTTCTGCATGAGAGAAAAATGGAGTTTATAAGTCGATCCATTTGCATTTTGGTGGCGCAGCCTACACGTTTCATGTTGATACTGAAGCATTTGCATTCTTTTAGCTGTTCGTGGATTCAAAGTCTTTCTGCATTTTAATGGGTCTGGAAATAATTAGTCATCTGCAGGGCTGCTTTTTTTTTAAACAAAGAATTTGGATAACAGTTTTCTGAAGATAAGCAACTATGTTAAAGTGAAACAAAGATAAATATTTGCTTTTTGCAAGTGTTTTGTACACTCTTGGAAAAGGAGTTTGCTTAAAGATCTGTTGTTTTAGTTAGCATCTTTGAATATGGATTTAAGCACGGATAACTGAACCATTTAATGCTATAAAATACAATTTCTTTGACAGATTGTAAATACACTAGAGGGTGGGTGTGGCCATTCTGCATGTTTTGGGGTCAGGTTCACGTCAGTTGTTTTTTTTTCAGCACAGTGTAGAAGTATGTCCACATGCATACATTACCCTGATTATTATCTCATAATCAACTATTACTTTAACTATTAACCCTCTCAGGCTCAAAATAAGTTTTGATTAAAGGACGAACAACTAAGTCCTTCAGGGGCACGTCTGAGTTAAAAATGCTCATGAAATACGTATGTGGAGTAACCAGGTAGGTAGGTTTTAACATTGCAAATCTGCAACGCCTGCCTCCAGAGGGTTATTAGTAATTATTGTCAACTAAAACTTGATTATGCCAAAGTAAAAAAAGCAAAAATGTCCATTTTACCACTGGACTTCCACCCATGGAGTATTTATTAAACGTGTTATTATGCAACAACTGTGTTGTTCTGGGTTTCTGTAACTGATTAATCTTCCACCACCCCCCCCCCACCACCCCCACCACCCCCACCCCCACCCCCATCTTCCTCTCCACAGAAGCCATGTTTTCTCTCCATATATCCATCTTGGCTGCTCTGGTCAACCTAGCATTGTGCCAGTATTACGACTATGGTGACTACCAGCCAGTTTCTATGCTTGGGCCATCAGGCCCAAACTGTGATAAAGAATGTGATTGCCCAATCAATTTTCCAAGTGCCATGTATTGTGATAGCCGCAAGCTGAAGTTTGTCCCCGTAGTTCCAACTGGGATCAAATACCTTTATCTACAGGACAACATGATCGAGGAGATCAAGTCAGGAGTGTTTGACAACGTCACCGATACCCTGCGCTGGCTGGTACTTGACAACAATAAATTAACCAATGCAAAGATAGAAAAGGGCACAATTGACAAACTTACAGCACTGGAGAAGTTCTTCTTCAGCTTTAATGAGATCACAGAGCCAATCATTCCTCCGTCAAAGTCCCTGGAAGAGCTGAAGATGATGAACAACAAGCTATCCAAGTTTCCCTCTGGACTCCTGACTGACAAGGAGAATCTGACCTCCGTTAGCCTTCAGCACAACGAGCTAACGTCTGAAGCCATTGGGGATGCGTTTAAAGGGCCAAAGAAGCTGCTGTCTCTGGATGTGAGCCACAACAAGCTGAAGAAGCTGCCAACAGGAATCCCCGCCTCAGTGGAAATTCTCTACGCTGATTACAATGAAATTGATAAAGTCGGAGCGGGATTCTTGAAAAAGCTGCCCTCGCTTCAGTACCTGAGACTCTCCCACAACAAACTGCAGGATTCCAGTATCCCATCTGGAGTGTTCAATGTGACTTCACTGGTGGAGCTGGACTTGTCGTTCAACAAACTGCAGTCAATCCCTGAAGTCAACGAGCAACTTGAGCAACTTTACCTGCAGGCCAATGAGATCAACAGTAAGAGTTTGCTTTTCCTTTACATTGATGTTGGTGCAGAAGGGTGAAACGCCTTCAAGAATTAAGAAATGTTTTCTAACTTCTGAGTGGTTTCATGGGGTTTGCTTAAGAATATGACCTGCTTTGATACCTTTGTCAGCAAACTTATCTATAATCATACTATCCCAGGATAGCTTGTGGGTCAACAGGTGCACATCAGTCTAATAAATTGGTTTCATCTGCTCAGCTGTCTAACTGAAAGAAAAGGAAGTTGAGAACATTCTCACCAGGAATATGGTGAAGTTTAATGTTTCATTTGTCCACATCGAATGAATCCCATCGAGCCAGAACCGGAAATCACTCAAGATCAGCTCTCTGTCTCTTGGGTCTGATATCTGTAGACCTGATGAGTCTTACCCAGTAAAAAAAAAAAAACTTCAAAGAATTGTTTTTAAGCTGATGGAGAGAAGGCTCACCTAGTCTCTGTCTAACATCTGGACGTTTTACCCTGCTACCTCCAGAAGACTGACCCCGCCCATTAACAGTAGATCTAGCCGTTGTGATTGTGGCTCGTTTCTGGACTAGGTAATTTTCTGTAACTTGGAAAAACAGCTACAAAGACGTTATTTTATTAGTAGAGACAACCAATAAAAACCTCAAAATTATTGTTCTGACATGAAAATCCTCATATTTTACCCCCATGGAGATACCACACACAAAGGGAATGTCCACTACTAATACTCTTTGGTAAATCAATTTTGCACAGCTTTAAATATTGTATGATTATAAGTGTGACTGGTTAATATTCAACTCAAAACTCAACAATAATAGAAAATCAGGATGAATCCAATTAATTTAGTCATCTTGTTCATACTCACATTCGTCTGAAAGCTGAAGCTTTGGGTGGATGGAGAGAAAGGGCGAGTTACATCGTGATCAGGGATCTACTTCAGCAATCTCCATTTTCGTTATTGGAACTAATAGTTGACTGGACCAAAGGCTGCATGGCTTTCAGACAAAAGTGACATTTAAATCAAATAAATTCTGATATTTTTTTAAATATTACAACTGCTTTTAAAACTACTAAAACTGCTTTTACCTAAACCTTTTATTTTCTTATTGTTAACTCATATTTGTAATCTTTCATCTGTTTATGAAATTTATAATTTTATTACTTTATTTTTTCTGATGTTAATCTAATTCTGTTTTGAGATCATTATGATTTTATGACTTTGTTTTGTTTTGTTTTGTTTTGTTTTGATCTATGTGAAGCACTTTGTGATTCTATGTCTGTGATAAGTGCTATATAAATGAAATTGACTTACTTACTTACTTACTTACTTACTTACTTACTTACTTACTTACTTACTTACTTACTTACTTACTTACTTACTTCCTTACTTACTTACTTACTTACTAACAACTACTTTGGTGGAGTACAAAGGAAAACTATGTGCCAGGAAATAGTACAAAAGCAGTATTATTTGGTTTTAGTATTCAAAATACTGCTCAAGACCTCATTGTGTGTTGGGTTACCAAAATCAAATCAAGCAATGGTGGGCGGGTTTCATGAAAGTGGGTGTGGCTTACTGTTAAGCTCAGGGAGGCTTTGATTATCTGGTGTTGAAGAACAAGATGAGTACATGTTGAGTCCCAACCCAATGTGAAAACAAAAACAAATGGACTGACGATGTATACTTTGAGTATGCCTGCCAGTTCTTACATTTATTTTTCTTTTTTTTTATAATTTGTAGAGTTTGACTTGTCAAGTTTCTGCAAGTTCACTGGACCACTCAACTATTCACGTCTCAAGCACCTGCGTCTGGATGCGAACAACGTCACGTACCACAGCATGCCCCCCGAGTCCGCCAACTGCCTGCGCCAAGCTTCGGACATCATGTTCGAATAAGGATCGGTGATCTCGCTTCACACTGCCGTGGAAACGCTCAGAGCTGACGTGTTTGTGCACTTCTGACACAAGTATTATGCATATATGTAAAACTATTCATGTGGATCATGTTAATGTGTACTAAGCTTGAACATAGGAAGGTCAAGAAGCATTCCAAATATTTGTAATATCTGAAGGTCTGATTGATTCATGTAGTTAAGTAGATGTAGATAAATAATATTTTAGACTAAAAAACACACGAGCTGGTATATCCTTGGTTATATGAATAGAAAATGCATGCATTGGTTTCAAAAACACACTTCAAACATTCCAAAGTGGCATTTGTGCACAATGAATATAGAAAATGGGTAAATAATTTGTGTTGCATTCGTTGTTGTTATTCTGTTTCATGTTTTAATGTGTTGCATGCATGTTGGCTGTGTTTCTAATTGTGTGCAAAAGACCAGCAGAAGAGGACTGCAGACTTCAGTATTGTGAGCAGAGCTAAAATGGTCGAGCAGATACATAGCAGTTATATTTTCAACATCTTGAATGTATCACAGTAGAAAATAGTCGTGTTGTGAACTCATGTCTGCCTGCTTTGAATTTAATCTCTTTTAACATTAACTGCTTGGTGTCTGGATGACTTTTTTTTACTAAATAGGAAACGCCCATTGTTCAGTACAAGAACTTTCTTTTTTTATAATAAATAAAAAACATTTGTATTATGCTTGAAGTTGCATGCTATACTTAAGGAAAGAGGTGTGCAGAAGGTTTTTACACTTAGCTCAATTGCTTATTCATAAGTTAAAGCTTTTGGCAGTTATAGTGCTTTAATTGTAACTCTGTTTGGCGACTTCTTTGTGCTAGCAATATATCAGCGTGTATTCACATTAGTTCCTTGCATTTAGTTTAGGTTCTTTATATTTCAGGCCACTGACTCAGTTTATGATTAGCTGTGAGAACAGTACATCTGGCGCTCGCCATCGTTGTGGCACCATCCTGCACACTTTAGATGTTTCCCTCTTTCAACACACCTGATTCAAATGAAGGGGTCATTAACAGGCTTCTGCACAACTTCCCCTGAGGAGGTAATTAATGAAGCATGTGAATCAGGTGTACTGAATTGGGCAAGTTTTTCTAAAAAAATTGCAGGATACTTGCATCTGAGGACTAGATTTGGTGACTTATTATCACTTTTGATCCTTTTGTGATTTCTGATGCTCATGAAAACCCTATAATGAATCTTTTATTTGTAAAACATGCTTTATAAAGCATTTGATTTCTAAAAATTGGCTTTTCTTGTGTCACAGAATTAATCGTATGACAATTGTGGGCAGGGCATATCTTTGCACCAGACGTGAAAGCGTCGCAAAACAGCCGCAAAACGTACTACGCAGGAATTAGCCACCGTTGTAAAGGATGAGTTCCTTGGCAGCAAATATGGGGATGCTATCATTACAATAGTCTGTTTTTTACACGCTACACTTCCAAACACATCAAACTCTGCAGTTTAGATTGGGCCAGATGAGAAGTCAAACATGAAAACAGTGTAAAACATCTGGAAACTTTCAAAATAAAAGTCACGTGCAAATAAACACATGTCATTTCCTGTTAAACCCCTTGTAGCCGACAGAACAGTAAATAAGCCATTTTTTATAAGACCTTTTTGGATACATGCAACCGTCTTTCCTCTTGCTGGTAAATTCTGAAATCACATGTGGTGTTGCCATTCAGGTGATTTGGTGAGTTTGCAGGCAGCCGGCGTGGAACACTGTCGCTCCCATTTCACTTCTGATATGCTCCCGGTTGGGAATGAGCTTGCACAGAAAACATCACTATTAGGTTATGTGTCGTTTTTACATTCAGTGGAAGAAAGGGTAAGAAATACATTCATGGAGCCCCTGCAAAGATATGGGGAGAGGAGAAACCAGTATGTTTGTTTCATGTGTTCACAATACTATCTGGGGTGAAACGTTCAAGCGCAAATGCATTTGAGAAACCTTTTGATTTTTTGCAGTATCATAGTTTCTCTGGTGCAACACTTTCTTGTGGGTCGCAGATGTAATATTGTGTGCATGAAAAACTCTCCCACGTCCATTAAGGGATGCAAAGTTAAGCTTAATTTTCACAATAATTTAAAAAGTAATATTTTATTCAAGAAAAAGAAAAGTCCCTGGAGGTATCTGAATTTCTTTTTCTATACAAATTATAGATTACAAAAACATTTTAAGCTGTATAGTGTTGGTCAAAGCTTAAAAAAATACACACTTAAAACCAAAATAACAAAAACAAAGTTAAATCTCTTTGAAACTTGCAAGTTTGCAAGTTTGAACTTGTTTTGTTGTATAAACTCACAACGGCTCTACGCTCAGGGAGAAGTAATTAGAGTGAGTGGCTGCAGGAGTGAAACAAGAAACAGGTAATTAAAGACAAACACACATGAGCACACACACATGATAGGCAGGTAGGAGCAAAAATAAATAAACAGTTAATCTTGAAAACAGGTAAGAGAAACAAGACCAACGTGAAAAAGAGGCAGTAGTGCAACTTTTGTGGGTTCAAAGCACCAATGAAGTAGAAAAGAGAAAAAATGTAGAAAAACAAAACAATCTGCACAAACCTTACTTAGGACAGAACATATACAGTAGCAAGAATAGCTTGAACAATAAAATCAATGTGACAGCATATTTAAAATACACAAATAAGTTCAGATTTAAGAATCAGATAAAAGACAAAGTTAAAGACTGGGTAGTTACTGTGCAGAAGGCGCAGCATAAGCAACAGTCATTCAAACGCTGATGAATACGTTAAACTTTTCAATTTTGATTTAAAAGTTAGTAGTGATTGGTCCGTGTGTGTGTGTGTGTGTGTGTGTGTGTGTGTGTGTGTGTGTGTGTGTGTGTGTGTGTGTGTGTGTGTGTGTATATATATATATATATATATATATATATATATATATAATCCAAATCTGAGGTTGGTTTATACCAAAGACCTTAAAGATGGGGCCCATATCCTCCCAATTCAATTCCATTCAAGTTTATTTATATAGCACCAAATCATGACAAAAGTTGTTCTAAGACACTTCACATAGTAAACATTCCAATACAGGCCAATTCATTCAGCCAATCAGAAAAAAGTTTCCTATATCAGGAACCCAGTAAAGTGCATCAAGTCACTGACTAGTGTAAGTGACTTTACAGCAATCCTCAGACTAAGCAAGCATTTAGCAACAGTGGAGAGGAAAACTCCCTTTTAACAGGAAGAAACCTCCAGAGGATCTTGGCTCAGTATAAGCAACCATCCTCCACATTATTTCTGATTGGCTTAATGAACTGACCTGAATTAGAATGTTTACCATGTGAAGTGCCTTGAGGCGACTCTTGTCGTGATTTGGCGCTATATAAATAAACTTGAATTGAATCAGGTGTTCAAGCGGCGAGGCTGGTGTGTGGAGATCTTGAAAAGGAGGTAAACAACACCAGAGGTGAGGGTAATCCAAAAGGCGTGATCCAAATACAGTCCGAGTTCAAAATCCGAGTAATCCAAAAACGAGTCAAAGAGAACAAACAAGAGCAGGTACGAGTGGCTGGGGCTACCTTAACTGGAGCAATCATCCGGCGTAGTGAGGTGTCTCCATCCTCCTTTTATACCAGAGTTCCTGATTGGGGATCTTGCGCAGCTGCAGCCCCCTCCGCTCCTCACCTGTGGGAAATCAACTCAATAGCGGTTAGACTGGAAAGGGTGCCACTCACCTCGGCTCGGGAACATGACAGTGTGAATGGATGAATGATACATTGTAGTGTAAAGCGCTTTGGAATCCTTACTCTGAGAGGCCCTGTACAAGTCATTCATCATTTATCAATTAAATAAAATGTGAATAAAGTGTCGTTCATTCACATTATGTTTGCTACCACGTTCAGGTCTCCTCAAGACAGACACTCAAAGGAATATTTCAGTCATTTTAAGGGGATCTTCCACCAGTTATTTGTCTAGAGAAAAGATCCTGCCTGCAGGTGACATCACTCAGTGAACAGTCTCTAGAAAACAGTCATCTGACTGAAACAATATTCATGTTTAGTCAGATCTGTAAAAGGTTAGTGGCACATCTCCAACAGATATACATTTCTATTAAAAACGTCTCACTGGTCAGTTTAGACTGCTTGATCCCTCACTCACCTTCTGTTTTAGCCACACTAGGGTCCCATGGAGCTAGTGTCTACATCCAGCAGTCATCAGGTGAAAAGTAGGGACACCCTAGAGACCAATCCATCACAGAGGCAGTCCCAGAAGGCACAATTATTGATAACTAGGGACAATTAGTTTCTAATTCAAGCTCCAAGGGCAAATTTGGAAAGCAAACTAGCTTAAAACATTTTTTCATGCCTCTTACAAACGTTCTAACATAAAATAGCTATAAATTTATTGTGGGGATTTAAACATGTTTTTAACAAAGTGATTCTCTCACGTTTGTCTAAAAACCTCCACCAATAACACATTTGAGAATAAGAGCAGCTATTGGACCATCTGGTTTTCGGTCCTGCCGAATCACTGCACTTCCCTGGGTCTTCCACTTATAACACACTCAGGCATTTAGCTACAGAACACCGCTGGTGCGAGAGGTTCACAGCCCAATAATATCAGAGAAGGAGAAACAGCCGGCTGTCACTTTAGGACAAACTACCAGAGTCCCAAACAGAAAAACACCATTTGAAGTCACGGACAACAAAAGATGTTTGGACCTAGAAAACGGTGACTGGTGTTTAGTATCTCGTATTGTCCGGCATTGCAGGGTTTCCGGCAGAAGCATGTCAGGGAAGATACCCGAGGGGTGGGGTGATTGTTCTGTGACCATGTTTTCATTACCCAGCTTCAACCTCGCACGCATGTTTTTGGCCTTTGGGACGAGAAAATCCACAAATGCATTAGGAACAATCAGATATTTATGATTATTTACTCCTATTTTACGGTGTCGTCAAAGATTTCTTTAGTCAAGAATAGTTATGGCATCCAGCTGCAAAAGAGTTTCAGTCCATTCATGACTGTACAAGTCAGTAGTTGTCTGTTCTGATGTGTTGCAGTGACACCTCTTCCTTCTGCCGTGAAATACTGGATTGAATTTTAAGTTCTGCTTGGTATCCTGACGAGGAGGTACAGGAATGTTCTCTCCTCTTACTGCTCCCACTTTTACAACATTTAACATGTTTACTTTAACACTTTTAACACAATTCACATGTTTTCATAAAGTCATTTTGCACCAGTTCCTAATCTGAGACAATTTCCTTCCCTTCCGCTGATGTTGCCCTTGTTTAAATGCCAGAGTAGAGCTCCTGCTGCCTGGGTCCAGACAGTAAAGTCCTTCATAAAGCCATAAGCCTCAAGTCTTCCCACTTGGAGACGGTAGGTGAAAGTGCAATCAGCTTTTGCAATCTGGAGCCTCACCTCAAACGATCTTCCTACAGTCCAAACTGTCTCCAGCTGGTTCCTCTGTTTGTATTCGTATTCTGTGTCCATCCGTCGTCAACCAGATCTGCTTTCTAGCTTTTCTTTGACTAGTTCCTGTCTGCGCACAGTTTGTGTGTGCAACCTCAAATTCAGTCTCAACATTTCCTCTTCATTCTTTTCTTCCTTCATGCATATTTAGTACAGAAAGCACAAGCATTTCACAAGTTTCAAAGACATTTTCCTAACAATTATGTAAATTAATGCAAAGGTCGACATTTACAATGTAGGTATTTCTCTTTTAAGACCTTTCTCTGGCAGGCTGCCATTCGTTTTCTGTCCCAAATCCTGACTGAAGGCCACCCATGCTTACATAATCAGTGCTTAGAGTTGATCTACAGTATGCATGCTTCTGTAGGTGTCTGATGGTTTTCTTGTATAGAAGTGGCTTCTTTGCTGCCCTTCATGACACCAGGTCATCCATGTGTATGCAGATAAACTCACAACAGCTTGCTGACAATCCTGAGCAAGCTCTGCGCTGGTTGAGCCCTGATCAAGCCCTGGTGCTGGACTTTTATGACCTTTTTCATGAATAGGGAGCCTAAAGCTTGGTTTATGCTTGACGCATTCACTTTCCGCGCGGTGATGCGGCTCGCGGATGGAACGTGCTTCACAACTCGCAGCGTTTATGGTACGTGTGGCTCGTCTCTGCGGTGAGCCAATATTCTCCCAAACTGAACGGGGCAGCATGGAGCTCTACGGCATGCACCCAACACTACACCATAGTAGAAGTAGAAATTACTGTTTACAACATGGCATTTCAGCAGTTTTTAACAGCGTTCTCGTCTTT